CACCACCAGGATGCAGATCCCGAAAAACCAGGAGAGGGGGAGCCATCCTAGGAAATTCCTCCTGCTCCGTCTCCGTCCCCCACCCCTTGGATGGGGACTGGGGGCTCTGGAAGCCCATCCCAAGGTTTGTCCCCCTCTCCCAGTGCTGATGAAGAAGCTGGACCACCCCCACATCGTGAAGCTCATCGGCATCGCCGAGGACGAGCCCACCTGGATCGTCATGGAGCTCTATCCATACGGAGAGGTGAGTGCCGGTCCTTAGCCCGGGGTGATCCCCAATCCCCATCTCAGGGTGGTTCCCAATCCCCATCCCAGGGTGATCCCCAATCCCCATCCCGGGGTGATTCCCAATCCCTATCCCAGAGTGATCCATCCCCAATCCCTATCCCAGGGTGATTCCCAATCCCCATCCCAGAGTGATTCCAGATCCCCGTCCCAGGGTGATCCCCAATCCCATTTCCAGAGCAATTTCCAATCCCCATCTCAGACTGATCCCCAATCCCCATCGCAGAGTGATCCATCCCCAATCCCAAATCCATAATGATTCCCAATCCCCATCCCAGGGTGATCCCCAATCCCTATCCCAAAATGATTCCCAATCCCCATCCCAGGGTGATCCCCAATCCCCATCCCAGAGTGACCCCCCAACCCCCATCCCAGGGTGATTCCCAATCCCAGTTCCAGAGTGACCCCCAACCCCCATCCCAGGGTGATCCCCAATCCCAATTCCTGGGTGATTCCCAGTCCCTATCCCAGGGTGATCCCTGATCCCAATTCCAGACTGATCCCCAATCCCTATCCCAGAGTGATCCATCCCCAATCCCCATCCCAGGGTGATTCCCAATCCCCATTCCAGGGTGATCCCCAATCCCCACCCCAGGGTGATCCCCAATCCTTATCCCTGTGGGCTGGACGCAGATCAGTAGGAATTTCCCAGGATTTTCCCCCCGAGGGGGGGTTGGAGCTCCTGGTTTTCCGGGATCTCCCCCCGGGGGCCCATCCCGGGCGCTGATCCCGCCGGGAATGTCCCGTTCCAGCTGGGGCAGTTCCTGGAGCAGCGGCGGCCGCGCCCGCCCGTGCCCACCCTGGTGCTCTACGCCCTGCAGGTGGGCAAGGCCATGGCCTACCTGGAGGCCATCAGCTGCGTCCACAGGTGCCTGGGATACCTGGGATACCTGGGATACCTGGGATACCGGGATGGGAGCCGCGGGAATGCGGGAACGGGGCTGGGATGGCGGCGGGATGGGCGGGAGAGGAGGGGAAGAGGGGGGGAGGGAGGAGACTTGGCTGTGGGGCCTTGGGGTGACAGGGAAGGGGGTTGGCCAGGGGTGGGATATCCTTCTCCATCCCTTTCTCCAACCCTTTCTCCATCCTGTCTCCATCCCCTCCTCCATCCCCTTCTCCTCCATCCCTTTTCCGTCCCCTTCTCCATCCCTTCTCCATTCCCTTCTCCATCCCTTCTTTGTCTTTTTCCAACCCTTCTCTCCATCTCTTCTCTCCATCCCTCCTCTTTCTCCTCCCACCCTGCCGTTATCCCAGTTATCCCAGTGTTCCCCCTCCCTCTCCATCCCTCCCCTCTCTCCTCACACCCTGCCATTATCCCGGTTATCCCAGTGTCCCCTCTCCCTCTCCATCCCTTCTCCATCCCTTCTCCATCCCTTTATCCTTTTTCCATCCCTTCTCTCCATCCCTCCCCTCTCTCCTCCCACCCCGCCGTTATCCTGGTTATCCCGGTTATCCCAATGTCCTCTCTCCGTCTCCATCCCTTCCCTCTCTCCTCACACCCTGCCGTTATCCCAGTTATCCATGTTTTCCCTCTCCCTCTCCATCCCTTCTCCATCCCTTCTCCATTCCCTTCTCCATCCCTTCTTTATCCTTTTTCCATCCCTTCTCTTTCTCCTCCCACCCTGCCGTTATCCCACCGTTATCCCGGTTATCCAGGTGTTTTCCCTCTCCATCCCCTCCCTCTCTCCTCACACCCCACCATTATCCCGGCTATCCCAGTGTTCCTTCTCCCTCTCCATCTCTCCTCTCTCTCCTCCCTCCCCGCCATTATCCCAGTTATCCAGGTGTTCCCTCTCTCTCTCCATCCCTTTTGTCTCCCCTCCCAGCCTGCCGTTATCCCAGTTATCCTTGTTTTCCCTCTCCATCCCTCCTCTCTCTCCTCCCACCCGCCATTATCCCACCTTTATCCCAGTAATCCAAGTGTTTTCCCTCTCCCTCTTCATCCCTCCTCTCTCTCCTCCCACCCACCATTATCCTGGTTATCCCGCTTATCCCAATGTCCTCTCTCCCTCTCCATCCCTCCTCTCTCTCCTCACACCTGCTGTTATCCCAGTTATCCCGGTTATCCTGGTGTTTTCCCTCTCCCTCTCTATCCCCTCTCTCTCTCCTCCCACCCTCCGTTATCCCGGTTATCCCGGTTATCCCAGTGTTTCCTCTCCCTCTCCATCCCTCCTCTCTCTCCTCCCACCCACCATTATCCCGGTTATCCTGGTTATCCCAGTGTTTCCTCTCCC